TATCGTAGTAAACGCTTGAATTGTTTGCAACTATTTTGTTTAATATTAAGTGTTTTGATAGCGCGTTCTTTTGTATTTTAGAGCAGTTTGTGAAGTTCGTACTCGACGTAGATTTAAGACTGCCATGTACATGTTGCTAATCTTGTTGATTAATCGTGCCTTTCTATGATACTGGATTTTAGTAAAATATTCCTTGCAAACACAGCAGGTCATTTTCTTCACTGTAAAGTCAATTATTTATCTTACGATAGAAATCCTACTATGGCTAAATGTAGGTGAGTCATTTTCTTTTTCCATTTCAGTATATAAAGAAACACTTTGCATTCTGTTGGTTTAAATATAACTGATACCAAATATTTTGTAGATCAGGGCAGCCCATTTGCATACATTTTAGTCTAGTTGCTTGCTTGACAAGGTCATTAATCTATAGCATGACCCAAGATGTCCGTGTTCCCTGGGATGGTGTTTACCTTATCACCCTCGCTGCCAGTGACGACAGAGGTTTAATCTCTGTCCTGTTTTTACATTTGTAGAGATGCTGGATTTCTCCTCACCTGGGTCATAGATCAATTTGAACGAGTCGCTCGCGGAGGCTAGAAACATCTTGTTGAAACTACTCTCGCACACCTTTTTTGTTGCCAATACGTGTGGCAAGACCCCATCGATAACATGAATATATACACCTCTCTGAGCAGAACCCCTCAGGGAAGGTTCCTTGATGTTGGTGAGGGGCTCTTGATTTAGGGAATTGGATCTGTGCTCCAGTTCCCCGAATTAAGCCTGAATGCCTTCCACATCCCTCCCAGGCGCTGTATAATCCTACGGGTTTAGCGCTTCACCTTGATTATAATAATAATAATAATCTGAGCAGAAACGCAACATGTGTTGCAACATGATATTACATGAATGTCGTAAACATGTTTCTTGATGAAATGCATTGGCAGTGTTGTAGAATGCAACGACGTGGCTGTTGCAACAAGCTTTAACGTGGTTATTGCAACAAGCTTTAACGTGGCTGATGCAACAGGCTTTAACGTGACTGTCCTGCAGAAAAGTTAGGACATGGCTGTGTTTCAACCGGCTATTACATGACTGTTGCAACAAGCCTTTCAGGCAAGGTTGGTATATTTTGTGACGTGACTGATGCAATAAGACATAACCTGGTTGTTGAAAAAAGTGTGAAAAAAAGCATAAACAATACTTATACAATTATGTAGAATGTCACGTTTTTCATTTCAGTGTCAGAGGCAATTTACGGTCTTGAGTTCCATAAGATTCGGACGCTTGTTTGAGAATGATGCTGTGCTTATTGACATCTCTTGTGATAATGTCTCTGGATACGCAGATCATCTGCCTTCACCTGTATTTTTTAAACGGCTTATATAACAAATACTAAAGATATGTGAGGAACTTGTAATCGATACTGACAGAACATTTACGTGAATAATTCCGATTATTTTTGAAGCTAATATTTTTTTTTTTGCAGATTTGTTTTGATTTCATTTTTGTTTCCTGTCTGGTAAAGAATAATGCCTTTAGCTTTCGTATATATATTTTAATATACAGTAAGGAAAAAAAATTTCGTCCTGATTATATATAATTTCATGCAAGTATTTTGAAATGAATTCTTCCACAATCTTTTTACATTCCACGTGTATTTTTTATAATGCCAATTCGTATTCCATCGTCTAGCATTTTCCCATTATATAACATATCATGTTGAAGAATTGAGACACTTATGCAACATATGGGAATCTTTATTGAAGAAACGTTTCGCACACACTGGCTTCATCAGTCCAATACAAATCAGAAGGGTGTAAGGAGAGGAGGAGTTTGAGGTAATCAGTCCCTTCAGCCTGGAGTCGATGTGTTCAGTCCATCAATCTTGTAGAAAGTACCTTCTACTTTCTACAAGATTGATGGACTTAACACATCGACTCCAGACTGAGGGACTGATTACCTCAAACTCCTCCTCTCCTTACACCCTTCTGATTTGTATTGGACTGATGAAGCCAATGTGTGGCGAAACGTTTCCTCAATAAAGATTCCCATATGTTACATAAGTGTCTCAATTCTTCAACTTGTCGGTTTTCAAAACCATTCATCACATAACATATCATAGCATGAGTTTATCTCTCCTAGCATTACCAATAAGGAAGTGCCTTGATGCAGGAGAGACTCTTGATCCAATTAATTGAAGCTATTCTCTACTACCCTCGATCAAGGGTGATTGCTTCCCATTTCTCAAACTCTGAGTAGCGATTAAGGGTATTGAGTTAGCCCACAAATTTAGCAATTGCCTTCGAGGTTAATTAAACATTAATATCGAAACTATATTTATTTAAAGAAATAATTAAGGGTGAGAAGGGAGAGAGATCCCAACAGATACACACTTCATGTTGACAACAATAACTGTATCAAGGCTGCCCCACCAACATACATGCACACCGGTACATAATACACATGCTCTCCAGTGCACAATATACATGCTCTCCAGTGCACAACACAAAATATTACGCTTAAATAAGCTCTCTTAATGCTTCAACGCATTTCAAAGAGATTATATTTACATGTATAAAAATAGTGTATGTGTGTGTGTGTCTGCCTGTGCACTCACTTATATTTGGATGCAGGCGTCAAGTCACAGCTCTTGGTCCCACCTCTTAGCTAATCGCTACTAGGTCCACCTTCTCCCTGCTTCAAGAACCTTATCGTACCTCTTCTTAAAGCTATGTATGGATCCTGCCTCTACTACTACACTCTCCAGATTATTCCACTCCCTGACAACTCTAAGGTTGAAAAAATACTTCGTTACATCACTGACTCATTCTAGTTTTCAACTTCAGTTGTGTCCCTTTGTTCCTGTATTCCATCTGTCCAGCTTGTCACTTCCTCTCAGTATTTTATACGTCATTTTCATGCCCCCCTCCTATCCCTCGTGTGTGTGTGTGTGTGTGTGTGTGTGTGTGTTGGCTTTCGTAAAAATGTATGCTCTGTGGCTGAAGGTTAATGCACGTGTGGGTCAGTGTATTACATGAACCTACCAAAACTAATGCTTAAACGCATTTCATACAAAAATGTATATATATGCAGCTACGTGCATCAAAGTATACATTTGATATATATACACACATATATATATATATATATATATATATATATATATATATATATATATATATATATATATATATATTATATGTCGTGCCGAATATGTAAAACTGGTCAATTAGCAAGAACTCATTTAAAATTAAGTCCTTTCTAAAATTTTTTCTTAGACGTTTAAAGATGTTTATTTTTCATTAATGTTAATGTAAAAAATTATAATTTTGCAACAAAAGAATCTTAGAAAACTTACCTAACCTTATTATAACACGCGTAATTTATTTTAGCCTAATCCAACTAGATATATTTTAGATACGTTTACAATAATTTAATACTAAACAAACGCAATGAAATATATTTTTTTCGTTAGGTTCAGAATGATTTTGGCGAAATTATTGCATACACAAATTTTCAATTCTTATGTTCTTATATGGCAAGATGACCGTTGCTATTTAAGCCAAGATCGCAAGTTCTGCCTATTCGGCACGACAATTATATATATATATATATATATATATATATAATATATATATATGTCGTGCCGAATAGGCAGAACTTGCGATCTTGGCTTAAATAGCAACGCTCATTTTGCCATATAGGACAAGTGAAAATTTGTGTATGCAATAATTTCGCCAAAATCATTCTGAACCTAACGAAAAAAATATATCTGATTGTGTTTGCTTAGTATTAAATTATTGTAAACAAATCTAAAATATATTTAGTTGGGTTAGGCTAAAATAAATTGTAATTGTTATAATAAGGTTAGGTAAGTTTTCTAAGATTCTTTTGGTGCAAAATTAAATTTTTTTACATTAACATTAATGAAAAAAATATATCTTTAAACGTATAAGAGAAAATTTCAGAAAGGACTTAACTTTAAATGAGTTCTTGCTAATTGACCAGTTTTACATATTCGGCACGACATATATATATATATATAATATATATATATATATATATATATATATATATATATATATATATATATATATCTACATATATACATATATACATATATACATATATATATATATATATATATATATATATATATATATATATATATATATATATATATATATATATATATATATATATATATATATATATATATTAACAATTCTCAAACGGGCAAATATTTAACATTATCTCTCAATCCACAGCTGAATTCGAAATACACACTCTTTTTCAAAGTACTCAGTACTATTGCCACTCAGCCAATCTGGCTGAGTGGCGATAGTACTGTATACTTTGATACAGGGTGTGTGCAGGTTCGAAACCTGCTGTGGAGTGAGAGATAATGTTTGACATATATAAGCAGATATTCAGTTTACTTGGGACCCCTCATCAGGCACTATTTATTAGCGTTCATCTGATCTTTTGAATGTGAGATATACGTATATATTACACATTCAGACAATATATGATTTACATTATGTATATATGTATATTATATATATATATATATATATATATATATATATAATATATATATATATATATATATATATATATATAAAATATATATATATATATATATATGCAAAACAACCACTCTGAAAGAATAGAGAAATTCCAAGCGCTTTCGTGACTACTCACATTATCAAGGAACTATGAAAGTAAAGCGTTGTGGGATCTGATAGTGAGGTGCTGGCCAGACCCCTTATATAGCTTCCTTGGATGCTTTACTTTCATAGTTCCTTGATAATGTGAGTAGTCACGAAAGCGCTTGGAATTTCTCTATTCTTTCAGAGTGGTTGTTTTGCATATTCTGAAATCACCTGTTTACTGCGATCTTATTGCATATATATATATATATATATATATATAATATATATATATATATATATATATATATATATATATATATATATATATATATATATATATATATATATATATATATATATATATATATATATATATATTTCATAAATGAAGTCATTTAATGAAACCTGACTGGTAATGTATGCGTTTTCATTTTACTTATTGAGTTTTCACATCATTTCTGAGTTCAGACATTTAGTCAATAATTTTGAGCTGAAGACATTTACGAAAAATCTAGTTAGTTTTTTGCCTGTACTTATTAAATGTTTTACAGCTTATCATCGAGAACCGCACAAAGATATGTGTATTTTCTCGTAGCTGATTATCCACGCACAAGCCAAAGAAGAACACAGAAAGGTTTTATACCGCAGTAGGTTTTTTCACTGATAATCTTGTATATAATACTGTATACGAATGTAATGAAATTAATTATCAAAGCGCCATGTATGGAACATTGGTAAATTAATCGTGGAAACGTTTTGAATGGTGCTCCATACATTTGCAAACTAAAATACCTAACATTGTATGCGACTTCTTTCATATATTTTTTATTGTGGACTTCGTTTTGGCATAGAGAATGCCAATGCTGGACACCTTTGACGACGATCAGCATTTTTTTGACAATCATGTATGTTATAAGAATGTCAAAAACATGTAGCAGAGTGAGACTGTTTTTTAAACGACTTTTTGTCCAAAATATAACTTCAGTGAGTCTCTTGTAGGTGAAGTTCTATGTAGTCCACAACGTCATGTAGTAAAAAGGGTCGTTCAGCTACGTGTGTTTGACATAACTAGTTTGTCAGCTGCTCTCCATTCACGACACACATGCACGATATATTGTTTTGTATGTTAAAACTTAACATAAAGGCTGTGGACACAACCCATTTGACCCCCGTATATAACACTCGTGAGTTAGACGTAAAGTGGAGCCCCCATAGCACCACCAGTGGAGCCTAACACTTGTGAGTTAGACGTAAAGTGGAGCCCCCATAGCACCACCAGTGGAGCCGTGAGGCGCCTAGTTCAAGTGGTTCATTATTTAATCATTCGGAGATTTATTAAAGGTTTATGAATTGTCCAGATTATCATTCAGAGAAGAGTTTATCGTTTTTATAGAATGTTTATTTTCTCATTTTTTACACATAAAACTACATGAAGTATGCTTTTTCTGTGGACAAAATCATAAAACATATTTAGAAAAAAGTAACCAAATGTTTCTTTTGATTTTGATGAGGCAGAAAGGTAGAGCGCCTATGTTATCAAATATATGCAAATTAAAGGTATAGAAAATTCCCATTACAGGAAAGATAAAGATATAAAGTGTAAGCGACTATCTAGCAGGCAGCCGTAGTCTGGCTTGGCTGGGAACAGCTACAGAACGAGCCGGAGTGAAGCCAGTCAGCAGCAGGGCTTCCGTCGTCCACGTCAGCAGGACTAATGTGAGCAGCAGAGGCAGGTCAGCCTTAGCTATACTCGTTGAAGCCTTCGTACTCTTGGTGGTTGAGGCGCTGGTACCGCCGTTGTTCGCCGTACCATGAGACTTGGCCGCGGCTTTCGCCTCTGTGGGATGACAGTAACAATATCAGAAACATGCTGGGAACATTCTGAGTGTGTTCAGAGGGTTATTGATCCAGGATACACAAAGCCACCTTCCTTTCATTAAATCGAATCTGATTACCTCCTAGAAGGGAATTGACTGCCCACCCGTGTAATAATACTAGACGAACTGTTCTGTAACATTGAACAAGAATAACTGAATATGAGAGCAAATTAAGTTAACTAACCATACCACGGGTGGGGTTAGAACCCGCGATCAGAGAGTCATAACACTCCAGACCGACGCGCTAGCTACTGGGCCAGTTGGCTACAATAAGATTCATCGAACTAGGTACGTATATTTATACACCTTAGGAAGGTTAGCATAGGCACCACTGTGACTACAGTTGGACGAATCTTGTTGTAGCCAGGTGGCCCAGTGGCTAGCGCATCGATCTCGAGTTTTATGACTCTCTGATCGCGGGTTCTAACCCCACCCGTGGTATGGTTTGTTTGCAATCGTGTCATTACGATTTCGTGAGTTAGGTTAATTACTTTCCAGAAAGCAATCAACGTTCTTCATTTTGCCCGTTAATATATTCTTATTTTAGGCAATAAATGTTTTACTGTAATGCTATTATTACTAAGTATGAAGCATTTAAATAAGAACTTTTACACGCCCTATGTTCACTAAAGAATTAATGAATACTATTTGTTTACTAAAAAGCTGGTTTGCTTTTTCAAAGAATGTAATGTATCCATTAACTGGTCGCGAATTTATAAAAATAGAGCGAAAAATGTATTCATGTTATTTTGTGAGTGATATGGTAATATCAGAGATATAAAGTGACAGTATCTGTATTGACTGACATGTGTTGATTGTCAGGTGTTGTGTTGATTGTCAGGGGTTGTGTTGATTGTCAGGTGTTGTGTTGATTGTCAGGTGCTGTGTTGATTGACAGATCTTGTGTTGGCTGACGTAAATGATGGACACAGAAACACTTCTTAGCAGAAAAATGCATCATCTTTGAAAGGAAAGTAGCTGCGTCTTTTGCCGTCTGTACTTCTTGTAAAATATAGAAGAATAACGTAAAGGTAATTAATATTGTACTATATCTATTTCGTTTCGGGTTTTCTAAGGTCACAATTAATATTTACAAAATTCTAGAATATATGAATAGCAATATATAGTATATATATATATATATATATATATATATATATATATATAATATATATATATATATATATATATATAATATATATATATATATATATGCAAACAACCACTCTGAAAAAATAGAGAAATTCCAAGCGCTTTCGTGACTACCCATAGTTCCTTGATAATGTGAGTAGTCACGAAAGCGCTTGGAATTTCTCTATTTTTTCAGAGTGGTTGTTTTGCATATTTTGAAATCACCTGTTTACTGTGATCTTATTGCACATATATATATATATATATATATATATATATATATATATATATATTTTATAATATATTAAATATATATATATATATAATATATGTCGTGCCGAATAGGCAGAACTTGCGATCTTGGCTTAAATAACAACGCTCATCTTGCCATATAGGACAAGTGAAAATTTGTGTATGCAATAATTTCGCCAAAATCATTCTGAACCTAACGAAAAAAATATGTTTCACTGTGTTTGTTTAGTATTAAATTACTGTAAACAAATCTAAAATATATTTAGTTGGGTTAGGCTAAAATGAATTGTTATTGTTATAATAAGGTTAGGTAAGTTTTCTAAGATTCTTTTGGTGCAAAATTTTAAAATTTTACATTAACATTAATGAAAAAAATATATCTTTATACTTATAAGAGAAAATTTTAGAAAGGACTTAATTTTAAATGAGTTCTTGCTAACTGACCAGTTTTACATATTCGGCACGACATATAATATATTAATATTATAAAATATATTATATATATATATAATATATATATTATATATATATATATAATATATATATATATATATATATATATATTATATATATATATATGTGAAAACAAAGGTTTAAGATAAAAAGTTAAAAAGACTTATATATAAAATTTTGTTCGTCTTGATGGTAAGGGTTGAAACTTTACGATCTTGGTGTGATAAATGATTCAGGGGCCTCTGTGTGATCTCCAGGACACAAGTGGATCACAAGGCTTCTCCATGAATGATGGAATGGCTGCAGGAAATATATTCTCATCATCAGGGAAAGATTTTCTCTTTGAAATGCAGTATGGTCTCTGCGTATACCTGTCTGTTTCTCTGTTTGTCTGTCTGTCTGTCTGTCTGTCTCTCTCTCTCTCTCTCTCTCTCTCTCTCTCTCTCTCTCTCTCTCTCTCTCTCTCTCTGTTATCTTACCTGGTATTACATGGACCATAACTGAGGCTGGGAGGAACTTGGTAGGCCAGCAGGTATAGTTTCCCGAGTCATTAACTCTGGCTCCGAGTATGACTAACTTGCTCACCGTCTCGTTCTCCAGGTGAGTGCTAATGTTGACGCGGCCTCCGTGCTGCAGGATCTCTGCGTCGCGATACCAGTACAGTAGACCTGCAGGCATAAACACCATCGTCATTACAGGATATGAATGGTAAATCCTCGACACAGGCAATTAGCGAACTGCCGAATATTGCAAAGAACAAATTTGTGTTGCAGGAAAAGCTTCCATTGGGAAAAGATCTCTGAATAAAGGCTTATTGAGCAATGAACTGATATAGCTTAACTCAGAGGGGAAACGTAGAGGACAAACATTGTCTTAAAGATAGCTTTTAGCTTAACGAAAGCTTGTAGATTAACTCAGGGAGAAAACATTGTCTTAAGTACAGCATTTGGCTTAACTCAACGAAAGCTTGTTGCTTAACTAAGAGCAGTAACATCTCCAAAATAAATTGCAAAACAGTAACATCTCCAAAACAGCTTCTAGCTTGAATTAGAGAGGAGACATTATTTCAACGACAGCTCTTAGCTGTTCTTTAACATGTACTTTCTTTTCAGGAAAATTCCACGTGGGCGAAAAGTCAAACACTGTTTGTAAAGGATCTGTGTAAATATTGATCACAGACTCCATCTGTTGTCCTAAATATGCAATCTCTTTCACCAGTGATATATTTACGTTTAAGTGCTTTCACAGGTCTCATCTCATGATGTAATTATAAGGGTTGGGAGTGAAGCACTCACCTGGAGGCTGGGAGGCTATGGAAGTGCTGCATGAGAGCTGGATGGTGCTACCCGCCCTCACATACCTCTGGTCCGACCCGTCCATCATCGTCGCAGCCTCTGCATGCAAATAATGAATATATATATATATATATATATATATATATATATATATAATATATATATATATATATATATATATATATATATAATAATATATATATATATATATATATATATATATATATAATATATATATATATAATATATATATATATAATATATATATATATATATATATATATATATATATATAATATATATATATATATATATATATATATATATATATATATATATATATATATATATATATATATATATATATATATATATATATATATAATATATATATATATATATATTTTTTTTTTTTTTTTTATTATCACACCGGCCGATTCCCACCAAGGCAGGGTGGCCCGAAAAAGAAAAACTTTCACCATCATTCACTCCATCACTGTCTTGCCAGAAGGGTGCTTTACACTACAGTTTTTAAACTGCAACATTAACACCCCTCCTTCAGAGTGCAGGCACTGTACTTCCCATCTCCAGGACTCAAGTCCGGCCTGCCGGTTTCCCTGAATCCCTTCATAAATGTTACTTTGCTCACACTCCAACAGCACGTCAAGTATTAAAAACCATTTGTCTCCATTCACTCCTATCAAACACGCTCACGCATGCCTGCTGGAAGTCCAAGCCCCTCGCACACAAAACCTCCTTTACCCCCTCCCTCCAACCCTTCCTAGGCCGACCCCTACCCCGCCTTCCTTCCACTACAGACTGATACACTCTTGAAGTCATTCTGTTTCGCTCCATTCTCTCTACATGTCCGAACCACCTCAACAACCCTTCCTCAGCCCTCTGGACAACAGTTTTGGTAATCCCGCACCTCCTCCTAACTTCCAAACTACGAATTCTCTGCATTATATTCACACCACACATTGCCCTCAGACATGACATCTCCACTGCCTCCAGCCTTCTCCTCGCTGCAACATTCATCACCCACGCTTCACACCCATATAAGAGCGTTGGTAAAACTATACTCTCATACATTCCCCTCTTTGCCTCCAAGGACAAAGTTCTTTGTCTCCACAGACTCCTAAGTGCACCACTCACTCTTTTTCCCTCATCAATTCTATGATTCACCTCATCTTTCATAGACCCATCCGCTGACACGTCCACTCCCAAATATATATATATATATATATCGTGCCGAATAGGCAGAACTTGCGATCTTGGCTTAAATAGCAACGCTCATCTTGCCATATAGGACAAGTGAAAATTTGTGTATGCAATAATTTCGCCAGAATCATTCTGACCCTAACGAAAAAAATTTATTTCACTCTGTTTGTTTAGTATTAAATTATTGTAAACAAATCTAAAATATATTTAGTTGGGTTAGGCTAAAATAAATTGTTCTCTTTATAATAAGGTTAGGTAAGTTTTCTAAGATTCTTTTGGTGCAAAATTACAAATTTTTACATTATCATGAATGCAAAAAAATATATCTTTAATTGTATAAGAGAAAATTTTAGAAAGGACTTAATTTTAAATGAGTTCTTGCTAATTGACCAGTTTTACATATTCGGCACGACACACACACACACACACACATATATATATATATATATATATATATATATATATATATATATATATATAATATATATATATATATATATATATATATATATATAAATTCTAGTGACTTACGTATATAAATAAACTAGATACTGATATAAAAATGACACCTCGAACAGTGTAGGAAAATAAAATGTAGAAAATATGCTTGTTGCTGATGTCTAGCAAAATTAAATAAAAGTATGTTTGGTCATCATTCTATATCAAGAAAGCAAGTATAAGACAGCATTCGCAATTCAACGTTACATCATGGAACAATGTAAAGTTTTAAATATTATCCCAAAAATTAATCACGACCGAAAAATGTGTTACAGTAATTTTTAGAAGGTTATCGGTCGCGCATTCAACAAAACTAAATTAGCTTTCAGAGATATACACATAAAGTATCTCATGTATATCTATATGGCTGGAAACCTGATTGAATCGTCTCCAGTGCAGCTAATTGACGGTGAGGGAAAATCCTGGATTGAAGTTTCAAGCATAATGGCTGTAATATTTCTTGTATTAAGCCGTTCTGGAAGTTGCTATCTTGTTCCCGGTAATTTCTGCTGGTGAGATTAAGGCTCAGTAGGTTATGTACCCCAGTCACAAACTTGCGTCCTGGGAGAGTACCACCGACTCCAGATAACTCGCACATAGAAGAGAGGAGCTTACGACGACGTTTTGGTCAGACCTGAACCATTTACAAAGTCACACTTTATTTGTGTATTGTACCATTCACGGTATTTGTCCCTTTTTGTTATTTATTATCGCAGTTTCGAGTTTTCTAATTCGCTCTGATTGGTATTACAAAGGATCTTGAAAACCTGGGTTTCTGCTATACGGATTTGATATCATGACGAATTACCAGTACGAAGACAGTAACTTGAAGATCGGCTTCGTACAGGCATTCATCACAGCCACCATTACTGAAACTTGAGACCTAGTTGTCCCTCACAGTCACGTAGCTGCATTGGACAGGAAGCCTTACCAGCTTAGCTCTAATATCACTAATAAATCGCAGGATATCCATATTAACTACGCAAATGTTCATATTAAATCATTTCTTTAATGTTGCTACTTTTGAATTATGTCGCAGCAATCATGCCATTTTATTACGAGTGATAAAATTGATGCATATAACAAAACAATTTAAGACCAGTAGCTCCATCTGTTGCAGGTTTGTCGAGTTAATAAAAATAATGTTTCTCATCTCAACTTCATGTTTTTTACAGTTATCAGCTCAGGAAGGGTCACAATTCATTCATTATAGACAACCTGAAGAGAAGCCAGGCGAAATCTCAATTAAGTTTTCACGGTAAAATAGTTTATAAAAGATACATTCTTTAATCACCTGTGAGACATTTGCCTCTCACCACCCCTGATTCTCCTTCACCTTAACTCACGATCTCTACCCCCTCCAGTGCAAGTAGCACCCTTTATCCCAACCCATAATGCCCACTTCCCTTTCCACCCCACCCTATCTATTTTTCCCTTCCAATTACTTAAACAATCCTGACCCTTTAGAGTGCAGGTACCGTCCCCACAACCACTCATTCCCCCAACTCCTATTCCCCAATTTCCCCTTCAATTCCTCCTACTTCCCTCCCCTTCCCCCCACCTTATGAGCAAGAACCAGGGAAAAATGTCACATAAGTTGCACATGTTCCATTTTATCTAACAACTCTTTCTTCTTGTTTGTTTCACTGGCGTAGTTCCGTCCCGGGTCTTGTCCATGAAATGACCAGGCGTCACCTCTCTCCATGAAGTGACCAGGCGTCACCTCTCTCCATGAAGTGACCAGGCGTCAACTCTCTCCATTACACACGTTAACATACAGTCTTCCATTACCACCAGTCATACCACAACTCCCATCATCACCACCACTCAAACCACAGCCCCCTTTATCACCACCATACATTCCACAACTCCCATCATCGCCACCACTCCAACCACACTCCCCTTCACCACCACCATACATTCCACAACTCCCATCATCACCATCATACATACCACAGCCCCTCCATCACCATACATACCATAACTCCCATCACCACCACCACCGCTCAAACCATGCCACCACCATCAAAAACACCGCTCTCAATAAGAGGACCCACTTCTATTACAGACATTTCCACTGTCACAACAACTGTTTGTACCCTTAACACTTTCAGCACTACATTACAGCTCCTGTATTACAACCCCCCAATTTCAGCATCAGCTTCCCCATCACCATCACTGCTGTTTACACACCCACCACCGACCCCATCACAACCTGCACCAACTCACACACCGGAACACATCAAGAAATACGCCATCATCAATGCATACGAAAATTAACTGCAAACTTCAGAACACACTATAAATCACAAAAGCACACACCCACCATAATCACTATCACCACAACGAAAGCGTCCATGAAAACGTGCATATGGGGGGAAGATAAAACACGCTGGGAAAATTCGATACCCGACAGAGAGAATGAGAGCCACAGAGCAGGAAATAATAAGGGGGAGGAACGTAAAGGGGATATAGCCTAAAGGAGTATATCTCGTTAAGTTAATGAAATTGAACGGAACAACAAATGGGATGCCAGGAAATGGATCCACATGGCGTACTGTCGACAATAGTCAAGGGGAAAAAACACATAGAAGAGTAAGGTTCTAATTGGACAGCCTATCGCTCTGTGAAGAGCTTTATCACTTCACGACTTGATAAAGCTCTACACGGAGAGCTTGTTGCTTTGAAACGTGTCTTTCCATACTTAGAAATATTATTACTACTTATATGGAGAAGCAACATAAATAGAAGGGACACAACGACTGTGGAGAAGTAATACACAAAGATAAACACACAAATGCACTACTACGTAGTTTATCCACACTAACAGCACCTGTTGAACTTTCTCAGCGCCAAACGAGTTCTCACTGAAGCAATAGATAGAAGCAATCTTGCTTATTATCTGCTCTGACTGCCACTATCACCGCACAAAAATCAGGTTCATTCCTACATGAGTGGAAGTGAGTGGGTGTGCGTGGGAGCTGACTAGCTTGTGCTACTAGGTCTGATGCCGTGCTCCTTCCTTAAGTGGTAGTGACCTGACTAGGTGGGGCACTTGTCTAAGCCGGGAAGTAGCATGGACCTGTCTCGCATGGGTTTGTGGACCTGCTGCAGTGTTTCTTCTTTCTTATGTTCTTAATAAAGGTAGAACTACCGATATGTTAGATAAAAGGACACATGTGGACCTAATGTCACAATTGTGGCAACGTTTCTGGAGAGCGAAACGTTGCCACAATAAAATGCCACATTATACCTAATAAAGTAAGTCTGTGAATAATGTTTACATGTACATAGATCAGGTTAATAACCTAAGGCAGTTAGCAATACTAATAAAATATTATATAAATCCAACTTTGAGAAAATGTTGCTGTACAAGAGTC